CTACCACAAAACACATCGTCTGGGAGCCATCAAGGAACATTGTTTGTCCTTCCATCATCAAATATAAAGTCTGCTAAGCTCTACTGGGTGCTTTTTTTTAAACGTTTGACTCAAACTGATTTTTTAAGCAATAATTCAATTCAGTTTATTTATTTAGCGCCAATTCACAACACAAGCCATAGACAATTCAACCAGATCATATAATCAAATTGATTCAAAGTTTTCTATCTGAATAATCTTATTCAGAGAGAACATAACTTTAGAGATTTAACTCACAAATTCTGCAAAGTTAGAGATTAGAGAATGAAGCAGAATGATGAAAAGGGGCTCCCTATGTCCTCCAGCAGTCTAAGCCTATAGCAGCAGAACTATAGAGATAGCTCAGGATAACCTGAGTCACTCTAACTATAACCTTCATCAAAAAGGGACGTTTTAATCCTACTCTTAAAAGTAGACAGGGTGTCTGCCTCACGGACAAAAACTGGTAGTTGGTTCCACAGGAGAGGAGCCTGATAACTAAAATATCATCCTCCCATTCTACGTTTAGAAATTCTAGGAACCACTAGTGAACCTGCAGATTGAGAGCTAATAAACATTCACATTTTTGATCAGGAAAGAAAATAAAGGATCAAAATATATATCAGCCACACAGTTAAATGTGCCAGATACATGATTTTTCTGTCTGCCCACACTATTGTGGTTATTATTTCACATCTCCCAAGTTGCTTCCTGTTCCCTAGAATAATTGTTTAAATCGATAACCACATTTTTATGTTTTCAGACACAGACTCAGTATTGTATTAAACTTTTCTTTTATTTTAATAATACTTTACAAAATCCCACACAAGGAAAGCATGCTTGGTTTTCTTGAAAGTGAGCTGCTTAACCTTTTGCCATTTGCTGCTTGAAAACCTGAAAATTTTAAATGCAAGGTTATGTTTTTCTGTACCCAGCTAAATTTTGTCACAATGCCCAAAATACCCTTTTTAATTAATCTGGTTTGCAAGCTGAATTCTCATGGTATTTGTGCATTCAAAAACATTAGAATCCATTTTGCCTTTCTCCCGCCTCAACTATTCCAAAATAGACAGAAAACAGGTCGGCCAATCACATTCCGCTATTATGTTTTGAGGCGGGACATACAGGTGTGACAAAATCAGAGCGCACAGCCAAACCAAACTAAACAGAGAAATGCAGAAAGTACACGTAGCTGCTGCTATCGCATTTGCTTTGTTAGGATCAAACATTTTTCCTGTGAAAAAAATGCAAGAAAAGATTTTGTTCATTAGTTGTACTGTAGCTCCGCCCAATCTGAACATCCATTTCTTTATCTGAACAGATTAGATGGGAGCAGCCCAGACTGATAATGTGTAAACCTAAAATTCTTCAGGAGGATAATCATAAAAAACTGTCATTTAGAAAAATATCTCCTGTAGAAAAAATAAGTGCTGTAGAAAACTGCCAGGAAAAAATATGAACAGACTGGAATATCTAGATAGACAGGAATGAAAAGAAGATAAGTGCATATATACAGCTATTCCTATTGAATGAATGTACTCCAACAAAAGGTTGTATTTTACTGTTATTTTGCCACTGCAGAAAAAGCTTTACACATCTTTACCAGGATTGTCATTAAAAATGTGAGGGCAGTAAATACATAGTTTACAACAATAAATATTTATACCCTATTTATAAAATACAGGCATATACCATGTACCAGATTTGATTTGTACCTATAACAATGCAAACACAGGCATTGAAAACTAGGAAAAAACACTGACTGATCTATAACCGATTACTTTTTTTTCAAGCTCCTTTTCTTGATGTTATTATTTAGGGTCTAATGTGGTGTTCAGTGTTTTGTGCTAGTCTGTGTAAACTAAACTAGCTATCATGATCGCATTTCCAACATTGAACAATGAGCTGGTTATCGTAAGAAATGCTGAAAGCAGGTAAGGAAATCAGACAACTGTGTATGCTTTCAGACAATCTGCACCTTTTAAATGTTTTTACACTAAGTGTTTGGAGATTTATTTTATATCTCCTTTACCTTCTTAGCAAAAAGAGGTGGAAACAAATTAGAAGGGATAAAAATAGCCGTTGCCCACACTGCATTTGAGGCATACGGAGCCTGCACTTTTACAGCAGGGTACTTAGACAGCAGACAGTTTTGATTTGACATTTTCAAATCTATGCAAATCAGATTTGTATGTCATGAAGTAAAGGAGGACCAAAGTCTACATTGAAATTTCCACCAATTGTCCAGCTTGTTTGAGCACTAGAGAAGATGTTACTTTATACTGGAAATGCTGTGATTCTGCTTAAAGATAATAGAAAAACTGCTGTGGCTTCAGGAGGCCTGTCATGGTCACTGTTTATAATAAATGTTGCTTGGAGTATTCACTGTGTGTCAAGCTACTCCCTTTGAAGGGTACTCACGTCTCTACCTTGCTCTTTCATAGTCAGCAACCATTTGCCTTTAAGCTTAACATTCATTCATTCTTGTAGTCTTTTAAGCCCACTTCACACCAGATTAAGACAGCTCTACAGTCTCTAGGATTTCCATTACTGTTTGAATGTTGCTAGATCACCACAGATTTGTTCAAATGTAATTTATAGGGTGAAATTACTCTAAATTACTCATTTTTATGGTATTACATTATATCTCTGTTGATCTTTAAGGGCATCCTATCAAAATGACTGCTGCTGATTGCAGATTATGCCCCAACATTCTACTTTTAAGATGTTTTTGCAGTTGAAAAGCAGCCTTAAGAATTTCCTCCAACCTTTATGCCAACTACCTATATGCACAATTTGGAGGTGTGCTCACCCACCCTGACAGGGATTGCAGCAAATTTCAATACCAATCTTTATTTAAGACGTGCATGGATATTAGTCTCTGAACCGATGCTTAAATTCGGACAAATTGCTGATAAAATGTTATCATCATGTAGATCTTAGTGCAGTCATCATCCAGTGTGAAGTGGCCTTTAACTGTTGCGTTTCTCGGGAGAGGATGTTTTTTTGTCTTTATACATAACTGTGTGTTTTGCTACTTGTTGTATTCTAGTGTTGTAACCATTGCCATATTGTTGGTGAAATGTGAAGTGCAATTGCAAATTGTCTGTTTTGTGTCTTAGGGATTTTAGAGTTTATTGTCATTTAGTTGGGAAGACATTTTCTTTCGGAATGACTCGTAAGAGATGACCCCCCAATTTGCACTACAGGATTTAAATGAGGGCACTTGCTAGATGCTTCTTAGGCAGCCTATTATTAGCACTTCTAGTTAGCATTACGCATTTCAGATGCTGAAGAAAGAAGCGGCTTCGAGTTTGAAAGCTTTTTATTAGCGTCGTCATAGGGAGACTTGAAACGAAATCAGCTATGTGTACATTTTTGCTGCACCTTATATTTAAAATAATTGGGTTTGATGTTCGCTTTTTGCTTTTGAATGGATTGTGTCCCAACACAGCAGACATCACTGTGATATAAATATTTATATACTTTTTACAAAATTTAAATTCATAAATCAAAAGCCTTTATATGGGAACAACCTACTTTCAGATCCTTTTACTGTTTTGGTAAATCAAAGTGTTGTCTAATAACTTTCCCACACCCATTGGTATAGAGCAGATATCTGTAGTATTATATTTAAAAATGATTGATTTTTACTTGCTAGAAAAAAATGAATAAGTTTAGTATTATTGCCTTGGATACAGTGGATATTTGATATGAGTGACGGATGAAGTATCTTTGCCATGTTGACCCAGTTGAGTCTTCTGAAAATAAACTTATAAAAACCAGCACCTTTGTCTGTATGATGTGTTTTGTGTCTGTCTATACTGTCTATTGTTGATATTTTACTATTACAGAGCTCCCATCTTGCTTCCTGTTCTCTAACAATTATGTGAAGGCGGGCCTACAGCTGCAATAAAAGCAAGAGTTGCCAAACCAAAGTTAAAATGGTCTTGCCTTTTTTATCAATTTATTGGCCAAAACCAAACTTTGGACGGTGGGCCCTAAATAAGGCTTCAATCAGTCATCTAGGAAAGTCTTAGATGGGAGCACACCCATCTAATCTGTGTGTACAGCTATATTTAGAGTGGTAGACATTTTAAATCTGGCTTGCCAGGTTACCTTTAAATTAGGGCTGCAACTAATGATTATTTTACACATTGATTAATCTATCGATTATTTTCTCAATAAGTTGATTCATAGTTGGATAGCAAAAGGTTCCTTAAGGAAGAGTTTTTGGGAAATTAAACCAGGGGAAACTAAAACTTTTCCATGTGAGGAGTTCTGGATAGAGCATATTAACAGACGAAAACATAAACATATTTTATTTTTTACAATTTTGGTTTAACTGCTGCTCAAGGTGGGTTGCTCTGTCAGCTAAAGGCATATTTTCGAGTTTACGCTCCAGTTAACGATTTATTGATCACTAAATTAGTTGGACTATTGAAAAACATTTGCATTAAAAAAATAACACAGTCTGAGCCAGAAAAAAAAAAAAAAACTAACCACCATTTAAATTGACATCCAGCTTTGCTTCAACCAGGAAAGCTTAATAGCATTAAAAATAAATGGCTAAATTAAAAGCCTAAAATGAAAGAGATCCATAAAGGTGATGAATGTTCTTTAACATCATGAAAAATGCTGTAAGGCATAGTTTAGTTTTGTTTTTAGCAAAGATGCCTGAAGAGCTACGAATACTGCATTTAAGATAATCCGAATCCGTAGTTCAATTCATATAAAATATCCCTTGAAGTGCTTTACTCCACAAGAGGTAAGCAAGTCAGACCAATTTCAAAACTTCAGAATCAATGTTTGGTGTATTTTGTGACATTTTTCATAATAGTTATATAGCTCCACCTTGATGTCCTTGAGGGCACAGACCCCGGGGATTGCATTATTCACGTGTTAACTCACCAGATCAAAGGTCTTTTATGGCTTGTAGCTGGAGTTTGCCCAGGCACTCAGTCAGTTAGAGGCAGGCGGACTGTGAGCAACCACCTTGAGCACAGCAGAACTTTTTCCACACTTTTAACTACACAGACCTGAGCAACATGGATCACATCTACGAAAGCGTCGCCGGGGAAAACGGCCGTCGTCGTGGAGGCCACAGCCCTGACCGAGAGGTCATGTATGAGAACACAGGTGAGGAAAGTGAACATGTGTACAGCGAGGTGGAGGTCCACACCTCGGCTGGGGGAGAGCAATCCCAAAATGACTACACAGAAATGAGAGATGATGAAAACAGCTTTTCATCCTCCTCCTCCTCCTCGTCCTCCTCGTCTGAGAGTGACGACGAAGAAGCCAGGGCAGAGACCCCAACGGATGAACAACATGTGGAGACAATGAAGTTTTCACCCGAGTTGGAGGCAGAAGAGGTGAATGGAGATCATGACAGCTCCAGACGCTCATCCTCCTCCTCTCACGCCTCCTCCTCCTCATCCTCCTCCTCCTACCATGGAGACCCCTGCGACGACCCTCCGATCGAAAGCCGGACCCAGAATGAGGATCATGCCGATAATGCTCTGGACTACAGCATTAAAACTATGGAGAACGTCCATCTGAATGACAGGAGCAGGGCCCCCGATGACCCCAACGAGCCTAAAGTCTCCCTCTTTGTCAAGGTAAAATCTGACTTAATAAGCTGCAAAAAGAGGATTGAACCAGTTCACTCTTTCAATGTTAATGAGGAGAAGATCTTTTGTTTTTATTTGAATAATTCTTGCCAGAGCCAATACTAAATTGCACAAGGCCGTTGGTAAAATCTAACATGCAGGCCAACTTCCGGTTAAGGTCTTTGTCAACCAGTTAGAGAACAAGTAGCTGTGGCTTTAAATCAATCAACCAACCAACTAATAAATATTAATTTTTACAGTCTTTTTAACAAGAAAAAACAAGTTTCAGATATTGTTATTTAGACAAAAAAAAAAACAGTAGAGTGAGTGAAACGTACATTTCTAACAAATGGGTCAAATAGTTAAAGAATGAAGAATTGAAAAAAGCAACCGATTACTGAAGAACACAAGAAAAACCTTCAAAACTTAAATATAAGACATGCCCATAATAAGAAAAGGACATGTGATTTTTAGTTTTTACCTTAGTTACTAACAGAGGACCCCTTCTTAAGACATCTGAGGGGTCTACAAAAAAAGCAATCCCACATTTACCATTAAACCAAAACTAGTATTTTGTTTTGGGAGATTTTCTATCTTAGTGACACTTGATTAAATAAATATCTCTATTTATGGGATGCACTTCTATTATCTCTAACCCATTGTATTATTTGCATTGAACAGTTAAAAGAAGCTGGTAGAGACTGTCTGTTGTGACCTCCCCATTGCGAAAACACTTCAGACCTGTAGCATAGGAAAGTAAAGCTGTGTAAAAATCTGACACATCACTTTATCCATAATGTTTTTTTTATTTATCTGTGCATTACTTAAAAAAATATAAAATGGTATGCTGTATTAACAGTTGTTGGATTTTTTTTATATATATCAGCAGAGATTACTCTAAGCTGCCTCATATTCTGCTCATACTGTAGTTTGGCTAGATGGGAATCCAAGTGAAGCAACACTTTTTTTAGATTAGCCCTAACATATTTAATCTGACAATAGTTTTAGCAAGAATCAAAACTGTAGTTTTCCGTACAGCTTTATCTTTATAAATTCTCCTGATACATAGTTTTTTTTTAACAACCAGAGTTTAACCTAGTTACAATTGGATGATTATATTGTATGTCCTAAAGTCATGTTTCCTCTCTGGATTTTCCTCCTATCATGGCCATGATTTACTGAATAATAACTTAATGCACATATGTCAGAGCCATCATGCTTAAAATTGATCAATGTCTTGCTTTTATTAAATGCCAGCATAATAATTAAGAAACATTTCTATAATGCTGTTATTTAGACACCTTTACTCATAGAGCATTACTTAAAATATTAAGTCACCAAAAGTGTTTATCAGATGCCAAGTGTGAGGATACTTTTATTGCTTTAGGACCTGTTATGTAAGCTTGGATTTAAAAAAAATGTTTTAATGGTTAAGCCATTTGCCGTAAACGAACATAATAACTGAAGGCAAACTCTAAGCCTGTGAAACCCTTCTGCTTTTTCCCTGCTTTACTATAGCAGCGAAGCAGGACAATATTTTACTTTACTGAAAACTTTGCACTATCAAATAGTGAACAATGGAAAGTATTAAAGCTGCTGTTTTATACTAAATTAAGTTACAGAATGCTAACATATTCACACCCCTTGAACTGTTCTAAGTGTATTTCACTCTACCACAACAAATCTCAATGTATTAATTGGGATTTCATTTAATAGACCAACACAGAGTAGTTTCATACTTCCAACAGGTAAATAAAAGGATGTATTGTATTATAGAAAAAAGTTGGAAAAATATCACATTGCATTTGTTCTCAGCCCCATTGATCCAAGTCTCCTATTGTGTGTCTCTAACAGCTTTGGACATCTAGATAAAGAATTTGTTATGTTTTCTTCTTCTGCAAAATAGTTCAGTCAGAATGGACTATGTGAATATCATGATTCTTATGTGGATTTAACTCTGGACTTTGACTGGGCTGTTCTGATGCATAAATGCTCTTTCATATAAACCCGTCCACTGTAGTCCAGGCTGTATGTTTAGGGTCGGTGTCCTGGTGGAACGTGAAACCCAGCTGATTCTTTTGTGGCTTCTCTTTTCCTGTCATGTCAAACTCAACGTTAAAGCAATCTCTCTGTTTCACTATTACATCAATTATATAAAGTCCTTTTACAGCATTCTAAAGTTTTTAGTTGTAACCTGAATAATTTCATAACAGTTAAGAGCATATAAAATTTTTAAGACAATTTAACCCTGAATTAGAAGTTCACAGATAAACAGATACTTCCTGATTATGCATTATGATGTAACCTTTATAAACACAATTTTATCTTGGCTATATTCTGCAAAGCTTTTTATGCTCGGACATGTATTTACATACACCAATACTACCTTGAATACAAATACTGCATTGATGGTAAACAACCCTTTGTCTCCAAATCAATCGTTTTACAGTCATCAATCCAACAGGGGAGGCGTTGCAAAAGTATGACTCTAACCTTAGTTTATTGTATGTTTGTAATTTACTGCCTATAAAAACAAAGATACCTCATACAACTAAAACTGGAACTGTTTCAGAGAACATTCAAAAACAACCAAAAAAGAAAGGCACACAAATAGTCTATTTTCATGAGGTGAATCAAAGGTAATTAAATAGAGCTGTGTTGGAGCTTATTTACATGCTTTGTTGAGCTGGATATTCGTTTCCGCAATACACTTTACGTCAGTCTGAGCACATTTACAGTTATAGCTGATAAAAGCACAAACTGCGATCCGCATTGCAAGTTATCTCAGAATCATGATAAACGTGGGCCATAGTTCACCTTGGGAACAAACCGCCTATCTGAGTGTATCAACATTGAACATGTTTAAAGTTTCAATTTGATAAAAACGGCCATTTTCAGCTTATAAATGTGATATGTCCAAAGTTTTATGTCCCATGTATAAAATACATGGATCATAAATGGTCATGGAATTGAAAACATCCATTGTCCATTGTCCATGAATCGCTCCACCTTGGGTCCTCCCCCCATCCTGTCTGAGAAAATCCAAGATATGGGTGGATTTTCCACTGGTTTAATCATCAACAGCTGCTATAAATTAACCCCAGCGCTGCTATAAAACTAGGAAGGATGGTTAGGACATTGACTGCTTTTGCTGACAGTGTTAGGTGACTCATCTCCCTCAGGGTAGGTTATAACAGCTATCTCTGGGAAGGCATGGAGTCTTTAATGCAGTAGTTTGTCTTAGAAATGTAAAATCAACAGATATTTCCTTAACCAACATGGCTGAAGTTTGAGCCATGGTGTTTTCATAAAGGTTGTATAAACTTAAAAGCTCAATTTTTGTAGGAGAGTAGGGGTTAATTCAAGAGAAGACTTTAAATAGTCTCCTTCACCTTGGCATCGGAAAGACACTAACGTCTGTTACTGTTTAACGCTTTAGTAAATGATTAGCCCATGAAGTGAGAGATTTAAGCTTCTTTTTCTCTAAAGAGGATACACAGTGCCAAGAAGAGATTTCACTAATCTACATTCACTTTTTTTTTGTTTAATACTGTCATGTAATCTGCTTCTATCTCTATGCAGAAAGAAATATTTGATACTCCACAATTTAGTCTCTTTTTGGTCAACTTACAATTTCCAGATCCTTCCACTCATTTTATTATTAGTCATAGTTAAGAAAAGTAAATACAAGAGCCTGATCTAATAAAGGTTTGCATGTATAAAAACACTTGACATGTTAAACAAACCTGGTGTACTAGCCAGGGACCCATACCACGAAACAAACTCAACCTAGCGGGATTACTTTCAGCCCTTCCAGTTGAACCAATCCACGACAATTGCAATCAGTGATACCATGAAGCTTGTTATCAACTCGCTAACTCAATCCAGCTTTGACTGATCATTAAACTACGAACATGCACGTATAAAGGGATGGGTTCAAGGAGGCAGAACAATCACAATAATGAGCATCATCTTACAGAAATATGAAGAGGACAAGAAAAGTCTCAATGAAAAATCAAAGAAGGCGGCGGCATGAAAGAGACGGCGAATATTGTGGCAAAGTATTGCTGACTGAGGAAATGAGCAAGTCATCTTGCAAGTCATCAGTGAAATTTAATACAGACTGCATCCCTTTCACTGTACTCTCTTTACTGCATATTAATCATGTGCTCCTCTGGAGTGAAAAGGATTTGGCCACAGCTAAAATAATCTAGTCAGTTGGACATTTTAATCCATTAATGTTTGGGCTGCAATAAGGCTGGAAGCTGATGCCACAATTGGATCATATTAATTTGAGTTAAAAAAATCTTTGTATATATCTTTGTTAAACAAAAGTCTATCTTAGAAATATAAAACAAACCAGTATGTTCAGAGTTGCCATTCCAAAACCCTGACCTGAACTTGGCTTAGAGGCAGTGGCAAGACCTTAAGTGAGCTGTTTATGCTCAACAACCCTATGGTGTGATGGTGCAAAGACAAATGGGACAAATATTTCCTCCATAAGGATGTAGACTCTAGAGCTAGTGGTAACACTAGTGATATTATCTAATATCACAAACACACGAAGCAGTCATTTGATATAAATTAGCCAAAGCCAGTTAATAGTTTTGGGGGCAATCACTTTACTCATAGCTAGGTCAGTTTGAAAGCTTCCTTTCCTTTTTCATATAAACTCAGGTTACATTTGTCTAATAATAAAAATTGTTTAACAATAAAAATGTTCAAGGGTATGAATAAGAGAAAAAAATATATAAATCTTTTAGAGACCAAAATGTTTTAAACTCTCCTTTGGCCTATTTGAATCTTCAACTTAACTCGTTAGCTTTCTCAATCCACCTAATGCCTCTAATGAAATGCTTTTGGTAAAGTAATCATGATTAACTCTGACCAACATAACAGGCAGGAATTTGTTCAGTTTGCTTCTTAGAAGCCTTTAGATTTGTATTAAATCAATGCCAGACTAGTAAGATGACAGCATTGACTCTGGAGAGGCATCAGTCTAGGAAAGG